GAGAGGACCATGGCTAGACCGCCGCCATTGACCGCCGCAAGGACGCCCATGACGTCTGACGGACACCGCCGCAGAGCTCCACCCGCCTCACCACACCCGCCATGGCAATCGGACGAAGATTGGAACCACGCGAGGGGATGGAGACGAGAGAGCACCTCCGCCATGTCGCCGGGCCCAGAAAGAGCCAGATGGTCGCCGGAATTAGGCAGGGCTTGGGCCGCCGGAGGAGAGGCTCATCCGGCTTGACGAGGCTAGGGCAAGAAGAAGAAGGGGAATTGGGGGTTTTTGGAGAGAGAATTTTTTTGTCTCACAATTTTCAATTAGATTAAGACGTATCTTTGAATTTTTTTAAATCAAATATTCTTAAAGATGATAAATTTTTGTTATACGCGAGTGTTCCCTAAAAAAGTGGTAACGATATATAACTTTTATATTATCCGATTTTGTAAAATCGGTTGGCATGTTGAAATTCTTTAACCTGTGATTTATTTATTTAGATGTGTTTCTATGCAATAAAATAGGTAAAATTAAATTTGATTAATATAGATTTATCTTTATTAAAATAGTATAATGATGAATTAATTGTGGTAAAACCCTCCCGTCCCCAAATTAGAAAACCCTTGCCCCAAATTCCATCTTCTCGCTTCTTCCGATTAATCGCCGTCAGCCTTCCATAGTAGCCTTCGAACTTCGCCGGCGGTAGCCGGCCCTTGACCGCTTGGTTTTCCGCCCCTTATTTTCTGTTCCGCTTTCCGGTCCGATGGAGTCGGGCCTCTTCTGCTGCGATTGGTCTCCGTCTTTTCCGGCGCCGATTCAGGGTAGTGGCTCCTCGATTGGGTGGTGGTGGAGCCGTGGTGCTGTTCCGGGGGTGGGAGGCGTCTCGTTTGGCCGGCGACTTGTTTGCTTGGGCGATCGGGACGTTGCTGCTCTCTTTGGTTGTCTTCCCCGGTTCTCGGCCTTTGTGTCGAAGGGGACGTCGCGCCCCTCACTCTGTCAGTGGTGTTGTTCGGAGTGGTGGTGCGGCGGAGAGGTGGCTTTGGGCAGCTTCCAAGCGTGTTGGGGTTGGGCCAGGGCTGTGACATTCTTTTGTCCGTTCGGGGCAATCCAGTGTTGTGGTCGTGGAGCGGGGTGACTTGGATTAGCTCCGGGGTTAGGGTTTCGACACCGTTAGGCAACCGAGTGGTTTGGGCAGTTTCGGGGTCGGTTCTTTTAGTTGCGGGTCTCTTAGTCGCCTTGCTTTTCGCTGGTTTGGTTTGATGGCACTACTTTGGAAGGGCTCGTTTAGTTGTGTTGCTTTGTTTGTTTTTGTTTGGTAGCTTCATGTTTTTGTTTGTTTTTGGTTGTGTGGTCGTTGTATTTTTGGTCTGGGCCAGTTGGCCTCTGTTTCGCCTGAGTGTCAAACTTATTATCCTGTTGGGATCCGACACTCAGGTATTCTCCTGTTGGGAGCCTTTTTAGTTTTTTTAGTTCTTAGTTCTTAGTGTTTGTCGTGTGTTTTTTGGTTTCTAGCGTTGCTAGTGTCGGGATTCTAGGCAGTCGTTAGACTTGTCCTCCCATTTTATTCTCCCGTTGGGAGCTTTGTACTTTTATTCGCACGTTGTGCGTTTTGATTTATAATAGTTCCCCTATCGTTTCGGAAAAAAAAAAAAGATTTATCTTTATTATTTGCTCATATGATTATTTAATTAAATAAGTTTGTTACTTACTAGTATGTAACGAATATCTGAACTTAGGGTGTTAGCTTCCTCCATGATGTCAAAAAGCTCCCTCTGTCAAACCAAGCCTTCGTCACTAACAGTGTGTTCTCTTTCACTTGCAAAATAGATTCTTGCGCCTTGGAAAAAATTGCTCTGATGGTTGCCAACCAATTTATCAAGAATAGACCGTACGAAGGAAGCGAAACGAAGTGAAGTTACCTTGGGGAGAAGTGATTGAGCGAGGTCAAGATATGTTGTTACCAGTACCGACGAATATTTTGTATTATATTTGTGTAATTTGTGCCATTTAATGCATGTGAATTACAAATGAAGAAAATTTTGTAAAAGAATATTTCAATGTATGCTTGATTATGGTAGTCCAACGTATTTGTGAAAAAAAAAATACATTAAGTTTTATTTAATTGATTGTAAATAATATTTTGACTATAAATTAGAAAGAGAAATAAAGTTTTATCGCCAACGTTTTTGTAAAGGAAATCTCTCAACTAATTATCCGATTACATTTCAAATAAAAATGGTATTCCGGATTTAATTACAAACTAAGTTCTCGACCAACGGACCAAAACTCTAATTTATAAACAATTTGAAATAATAACAAAATTCTTTACATATGGAATTGAATTCAAGCAAATTTTGCATAAAAATCTGTACAATAATTAATTTGAAATATCGCAAAAGAGTATATGTAATTTGTATCAAAAATAATTTAAAATTTACAAATCAGATATATTAAACACGTGAATATCAAAAGTCATTTAAAAATTTGAATCTAAATCGGATCTCCAAAAGAAGTAAGTCAAATGTTTTGATCTATATTTTTTTATCAACTTTCCACAATTAATTTTTCCATCACCTCTTTCAATATAGATAAATTAAATATTTTTCTTTATTGCTTCAATCGTTATTTATTTTATTTCATATTTTTCTTCCAGAGTTATCATAATATTTTTCATTTTTTTCTATTACATATCTTCACTTAAATCAATTACATTAATTTATTTCTCAACTTTTCTTTTTAATATTTAGATATTACTCAATTCAAATATGAAGTAATATCATATTATCCCTTTTAAAATGATGTCAATCTAATAAAATTAAATAATTAACGACCAAAATTTTAAAATTACATATAAAGTAAAAAAATATATATAAAGTTTGACATCTAAATTCTAAAATTCTACAAGTGCGTTTAACTATTATGATTAAAAAATACTATAATTTAACAATGTAATTTAAACACAAATTACCTTAGTTTTTTCTTTAAAAAATCAAAATAAAAACTTTTATAATTTTTATATATGTTTCTTAATTCAATACACTCGTGTAATACACACGTGGAAAAAAATAATTAGGTAAACACGCAATACAATATTTTCTAGAATTCATTTTTTTTTTTTTTGTTCGTTTTTTTCCTTGTTTTTTGTTTAGCGAATAATGTCAATGTGATGATGAGTCTCGAACATTAGTACCATATCTCCATCGTTAACAGATTCATTTACTCAAGCTGTTAGGATCGCGACAGAAAACCGACGCCATGGCGACTTCCACCGCCGGATCAACCGCCGCCGACGCCCTCTCGAAACTCGCCGTCAATGAATTGGCAACCGCAGCTCCCAATCTACACAAGAATCTCTCCCTCCTATCGCCTCACCAGGTACACATTTTTCGAAATCACTCGCGCATGTATGTGTATAGTTTGATCGTGGTTCAAACGCTCTGTCTTTCTCTTTTCTCGCAGGTGGAGCTGTCGAAGATGTTGTTGGAGATGAATCAGAGCCATTTGTTCGAGCATTGGCCTGAGCCAGGGGTTGAGGATGATGGCAAGCGCGAGTTTTTCGAACAGGTGATTGCCCGAGCCTTTTTGGTATTTTTGATCCATCCCTTTTCGAACAGGTGATAACCCGAGCCTTCGAATCAGAAGGTAGTGTGATTTCATATATATGCTTATCTGTTTTGGAGAATATTGTGATCTGTTTTGGTGAATAGTTCAATTTCGTTTTCGTTTAAGTTTGTTTGTTAACTTTAGTGTCTCTCCTTGAAAATCAGATTCTTATGCCTTTTTAGTTCTCAGAATCGTGTTTTTTTTTT